TTCTTTTGTCTCATTGGCCAAAATGAAGTCCTGTGGCTGCAAGGGAGGTTGGGAAATGTAGTCCACGTGCTGAGCCAGACATAAGGGTTTGATGATTAACTATCAAGATCAGGGGAAAAGAGGTGAAGGGTATTAGGAGATAATAGCAGACAAAGCCACATGGGAGGGTTAAATAGGTGCTGAGCAGCACAGAGGGCACGGGAGGCTGGCTAGGATGGGTGTTTCTCCAGCAGCTCAGGGCAGGTGGGGAGAGAAGAAATCAGAGGCTGGGAATTGGCAGGTTGGGTCACTGAAGTTGAGTGGTTGCCAGAGGAACCCAGACAAGGCAAAAAGGCAAATGCAGGCAGGAGAGCCTGGAGGCCAGAGATCTCGATGAGGGAGATGCTGCAGAGGGAAGAGCCTGAGCTTGTTTTTGAGACATAGTGGGCATGGGGGCTGCCCTTTGAGGGCGCGATGAAATTCTAGGGCAGTGGAGCCAGCGTGTGAGGAGCTGGAATGGAACTCGGGGGCCAAGTGGGTAGTCCATAGCGGAGGCTTCCGTGGTGTCAGCGGGCTTGGCCAACAACCGTTTTGTTGTAGAAAGAGATGGAAGCCCTCTGCAGTCAACAGAGGAACTATTATTATTATTATTATTATTATTATTATTATTATTTTGATTTTGGGAGTATGTTTATCAAAGCTGGGGACAGTGAAACAAGGAAGGGCCTGGGATAGAAGAAGCAAGAGGAGAGAGCCTAGGCCGGGCTGCTGTCAGCTTCCTGTATCGATAAAGTTAGAGAAAAGAGGGTCTTGGAGACAGGTTCCGGGGGCGAGCCCCGGACAAGCTGCCGCTGCCCACTGCTCCCCTGATTGCCAGTCTCCTGGGTATCCGTGCCACCTGGGAGGAAGAAAATTCACTCCCAAAGCAGAGTTGAGTGGGCATGCACTGAGGAGGGTGTGCCAGCAGGTGGAGGTTTCAAGAGCTGCCAGGCACCAGAAGTGGGGCCTCAGGAGGAACTGGGGCCTGAACACTGTTCCATCAGGAACTCTGCCAGCATCCTCAGTATACCTCACATTTCTGGGGAAAAGCCATCTTTTCAGTTCCCTGAAAAAGGAGGAGATAAAGAGGATTTTCTTTTCTTCTGTAATTCCTACAATTACTTTAAAAAGTACAAACTAACGTGTGGACGTTGTGATGAATGACATCATGCAAAGACGAGTTGACTCAATGTCAGCAGACTCGCCCACCGCCAGTTCTCTGTTCCTCCCTCTCTGATACCCAGCAGCCTCCCAGAGAGAGGTAGGAGGGCCCGGCTCCCTAGGCACCTGCCTGGCCTGGAGGATCCTGTAGCTCCCTCCCCAGCTTCGCCGGCCCAGTGTCAAGGCTTGACCTGGAAGTCAGTGTCAAGGCTTGACCTAGAAGATAGGCCTTGGGCCTTGCTCTGTCCATATTTCTTGGAACTTCCCTCACAAGCTGCTGCGCACCAATGCTCACTGCTCCCACGTCTTGCTGCACAGCTGCTTGGAGTAGCATTGTTTAGTCCAGATGGGTTTTCTTAGCCCATCGGAGTTCAGCATTAGGGATCTTCTCAGTTTCCTTTGCTATAAAGGGCCCTGCTGGGAACACTTTGGATAAAAGACTTCCGAGCGCTGGGTCATTTCCTTTGCGGGTGTATAACTAGGAGTGGTATGTTGGGATCAAAGGGTCCACATAGCTTCATGGCTCTTGTTTCATATGCACAGATGGTTAGGAAGGTATTTTAAGAGGATTTAAACACCCACTTACTTGGTAAAAAGTTGTAATAGTCCTCTTACTATTGTCTTTCACTTATATATTATTTTTTTCCATGTTGTTAATCCTTACTTGAGGATATTTTTAAAAAAATATATATTTTATTGATTTTTTACAGAGAGGAGAGAGAGGGATAGAGAGTTAGAAACATCGATGAGAGAGAATCATCGATCAGCTGCCTCTGGGACACCTCTTGGTTGTGGGATGTGCCCACAACCAAGGTACATGCCCTTGCCTGCTGGAATCGAACCCGGGACCATTCAGTCCGCAGGCCGACCTCTATCCACTGAGCCAAATGGTTTCGGTGTGGGATATTTTTCCCTCCACTATGGATTTTTAAAGAGAGTGGAAGGCAGGGAGGAGGAGAGAGAGAAACATTGATATGAGAGAGACACATCAATTAGTTATGACCGAGGCTAGGGTTTGAATCTGCAACCAAGGTACATGCTCTTGACCAGGCAGGCTGAGGCTCTAACCCAGTGGTCGGCATACTACAGCTTCCGTACAATGCGATTGAAACTTCGTGGCCCATGCCCAGAAGTCAGTTTTTGCTCTGGATAAGTCTATTTTGAAGAAGTGGTTCTAACATCAAGCCACACTCAAGGGGCCAAAGAGCCACATGTGGCTCGTAAGCCGAGGTTTACTGACCACTGCTCTAACCATTGACTGAGCAGCACCGAACAGGGCTCACTTTTATATTCTTTTTAAAAAAATATATTTTATTGATTTTTTTTTTTTTTTTTTTTTTTTTTACAGAGAGGAAGGGAGAGAGATAGAGAGTTAGAAACATTGATGAGAGAGAAACATCCATCAGCTGCCTCCTGCATACCCCCTACTGGTGATGTGCCCACAACCAAGGTACATGTCCTTGACTGGAATCGAACCCAGGACCTTTCAGTCCGCAGGCCAACGCTCTATTCACTGAGCCAAGTCTCAGCTAACTTTTATTTTCTTTACTAAAATTATGTTCTTATAAGGAAGAAGGTAAATGAAGGAACATATGGCTGTTGTATCCCAGGTGTGCAAGTGAAAGGCAGCAAAAGTGTGAATGGGGGTGGGAGGGGTGGGTGTTAAAAAAGAGCCGTGGTTGGTTTAGGCTCTGCCATTAAGTAGCTCTTCGAGCTCAGTAACTCTGCCAAAGTGCAGGCAGGTGATCTGAGGCCTCTGAGCCTCCTTTCAGCTTGGAGTCTATAACTTCTCATGGAACTTGGGGATGCCTTCCCTGCTCCTGCAGGAAGCGGAGGGAAGGAGCTATATCCTAGGGCCCCATCCTCCTTGCGTTTATCTTACTATTGGGGTGCTCTGCCTCATGATCCAGGGGGCAGCCATGATCCAGGGGGCAGCCATGAGAACTCCATCTGGCCACTGAGGCTAACCCGTGAGGTATCCAGTCTAGACTAAACCTTGTCCCAACTTGACTCAGTCCTTTCGCTCGCCCACTGGGATGCACACTTCCCCATCCACCGCCCCAGTGGGAAGGAACTAAGAGCTGCAATGCTGGGGTGGTGAGGAGGGGGAGGACCATAGGCTCCGAGACCTGTCTGTGAGCTGTTCCTAGGAGAGCTGCAGATTGTGGAGGCGGTGGAACCCTTGGGTGTTCCCTGACCAGGTCAGTTGTGACCTTGATAGAGGTCTTACCCTTTCTGGCCGGTTTCCCCTCTGGCACGTGGATGCAATGGGACTACTTGACCTTTAAGGGCATCCCCTACTAGGTGGTATCTCCCTCCTTTCCTTCTTCCCTCTGGTGGTGGTACTTGTCCCTGGGGGGAGAGGGTGCAGTGGGGGTAGCGGTGATGTCCTCCCTCTGTTCACAAGCAGACAAGGTCAGTCACAGTAGGTGAGTCATTTTGTGTAGGTCACCCCAGTCTTCTTTTGTGGAATAAGATGAGGAGTGAGGGCTGGACAGGGTGGGTATCTTCCTTCTTCAACAAGGCCCCTGGCCGACTCCAAGCCCGGTTCTCAAATTCAGGCTTCACTACCTGTTCCCTTTTCCAAGGACTAACGCACTTCCTACTCTCCATTTTACTCCTCAATCCCTTTCCTCCACTTCCTCCATGGACAAACAATGGTAGGACCTTGGAAGGGAGTGTATTTAACACTGAAAAACCTGTCTGGGAGTCATGGGAAAGAAAAGTGATTGTAAATATGAAATATTAACAGGGAAAACGGCCCAGAAGGAAGTCACACACTGCCCCCCACCAAGTAAGTACTATAAACATCATCTCTAGGAGACAGTGTGGGTCAAGGGGTGAATTTGAATTCTGACTGTGAGAACTTCAAGTTGGTTAATTTTTTTTGAGTATAGATTATCATTTGAAAAATGGTATGAATCATAGAAAAATGGTGACACATGGAAAAAAATGTGAGGTTTAAAATATATTTTATATATCGCCCAGCCAGCGGGGTTCAGTGGTTGAGTGTCAACCTATGAACCAGGAGGTCATGGTTGGATTCCAGGTCAGGGAGCATGTCCAGGTTTCGGGTTCAATCCCCAGGGTGGGGCGTGCAGGAGGCAGCAAATCAATGACTCTCATCATGGATGTTTCTCTCTCTCTTCCTCTCCCTTCTTCTCGGAAATCAGTAAAAATACATTTAAGCCGAAACCGGTTTGGCTCAGTGGATAGAGTGTCAGCCTGTGGACTGAAAGGTCCCAGGTTTGATTCCCGTCGGGGGCATGTGCCTTGGTTGCAGGGACATTCCCATTAGGGGGTGTGCAGGAGGTGGCTGATCAATGTTTCTCTCTCATTGAAGTTTCTGACTCTATCTCTCTCCCTTCCTCTCTGTAAAAAAATCAATAAAATATATTTTTAAAAATATATTTAAAAACATATTATATATATTATCCGAACATTAACTTATTCAATTATTAGTTTTCATTTTGACTACCCCTCCTTTCTCTTCCACTAAGCGTTCTTCTCCCCCTTTTCCCTTCCTTCCTCCCTTCCTCCCCTCTTCCTCTCCTCCCCTCCTCCCCTCCTCCTCTCCTCCCTCCTCCCCTCTTCCCTTCCTCCCCTCCTCCCCTCCTGCCCTTCTTCCCCCCCCCACCCCCGCCTCCCCTTCGCGCATGCGCCCCGCGAGGCGCTGAGTCAGGCTGCGGGAGGGCGGGGCGGGCCCGGGCGGGGCGGGGCGGAGCTGGCGCCTGCGCGGTAGGCGCTTCGGGGCTGGGCAGGTTTATATCCCCGAGATCAGCTGACGCCCTGCATTGCAGACTGCGGAGCCCGGCGCTGCCATGTATTCTCTGTTTCTTCTAGCCAGCCTCCTGGGCGCGGGTAAGACCGGGGCCCCCGGCCTGGGAGGGTGTCCCCCCCGGGAGGGCGCCCCCCGCGGAACGTGGCCTTCGCGCCCCGGAGCGGCTGTGCCCGGCCTCGCCTCGCGGGACCCCTTTGGGCTCGGCGGAGGGCGCGCACTGCGCAGGCGTCGGCGCCGCGCCGGTACCTGCTGCGCGGCCCGGGCTGCGGGGGTTGTTGGCCGGGAGGCCGGCCGCTTAGGGCCCGGGGCCGGGAGGAGGGGTGAGGCGGGCGGCCTCTCCTTCGGGGCTCCAGCTGGTGCCCAGGGCGGCTGCGGCGGCCCGGGCCTCCCCCCAGGCTGCCCTCCCAGCTGTGGGGGGCGCCCTGCCGCCGCCGCAGCCGTGTTGTGCTCGCGCCGGGCGCACATGATTGAGATGGAATGGAGCCCCAGCCAGTCGGACACACTGGCCCTTGGCCTCAGTTGCCCCAGTTTTTAAGAGCATTGAAGTTGTAGGAGGCATAAAAGCCCACTATACCGTCTTGTGTTGATGTTTTTCTTTATATATATATATATATATATATATATATATATATATATATATATATATATATCCTTTCTTTAAATATATATATTTTAATTTTATTGATTATGGTATTATTGATTATGGTATCACATAATTGTCCTCGACCCCCATTCCCATCCCGATATATATCATAAACACCCCGTATCATCTTCAAGTTGTGTGATATATATATATATATATATATATATATATATATATATATATATATATATATTCTTGAAGATGATACGGGGTGTTTATGATCCGGACGATTTTGCAATGGAGCCCTCATTTCACACGCTTTAAAAGGTCTTTGCACAGCCGCTGGCCGGTTTTAGCCGCGGCCTGCATGTGGGGAAAAGGTAAGTATGTGAGAAGTTGAGCACAGCAGTATCCATACACCTGTTTATTGCCCTGAAATAGGACTGGTTGTTAAAATCGTTCCAGGCTCAGAAGGCAACGCCTGGGTACCAGCCGCACTGTCTTCCTGGAATTAGAAGGAACCCCAGTGCCCTCCCCAAGTCACCTGACCTTTCCTTTCCCCTAATTCTTGCCCTCACATCTTAACCCCATTTAAGTCATCACGGTAAAGGGAAAGGAGTGAGATTGGGTTACTTCATCTCATTTCTGTAGTTCGATAGCGACCGAACCAGATTTCATTCAGTTTATAAGTGGATAGTTAAGGAGCCAGGTTTTAATTTATATAACATTGACTTTTAAGTTATAAACAAATTTGGATGTTTTCAGAGTATAGCCCACTGAGGGAAATACACCTGATCTTTAGGGCCAGCCTACATTTCTTTGTATTAACTATGTCTTTTAGGGTCTAGCCTCCATTTTAAGTATCATGGAGCCATCCACATTTCAATAAACAGTAACCAAAGAATTAAGAAACTTATAGGTGAAGTAGGTTGAAGATGTTTCTCCTCATGTTCGCTTTCAGCAACTCACAAGAATGTGTTCTCAACCTTAGACCAAGCTCTGAAACTAGTTTTGCATGTAGACGATGAAAGGTGAACCGCTTGTAAAGCAAGATTTTTGGTTATACGGTCCCTGAAGAAAATGTATTTCTCCCTTGGGTTGATCCTGCTTGTTATTCTATGGTTGGTGTAATACATGCTAGTCTCCAAATTTTCTATACTGACTGGGAAAAGTCCCCCCACCGCCCCCCCAACAATTGTTCTTGGGCAGTGAGTCACACCTCACGAGACCTTGAAGAGGTCTGAATCACTCAAACACTCAAAAAGGAACTGAATTGGCTTTTTGGAAATTCTCTGGTTGATATGGGAAGAGGGTTAACCAGAATAATAATTAAGCCAAGAGGCCCGCTCCCAGCATGCTTGGGAAAGTGGGAGCATGCTGTAATGGCCTTGCTCTGACCTTGCTGCCAGGCCCTTAGGGTTATGCCAAGGTCATGCCGCTAACAGTGTATGGATGAATTTTTAATGAACACGGACTTGCCTGGACAGCTCTGGCCATACTTTTTTGGAAATGTATTTTCCAAAATTTCCAGTAATACTGATGTTAGTGAAGGAGCATCGTGGCTGCGGCCGCCATCTGCTCCCGGAGGTGCTTAGAACCTGCCGTTCCAACATGGCGCTGCTGTATGGAGTGCATGTCATTCCGCATCTGGAGGAGCTGTATAGGTTGTGTTTAGATAATGTCCTTGTGGTGGAGACGTTTGCTTTTGTTTTTCTACCTCTCTAGTTGTCCCTCCTTTTCCCAACCTGAAAAATAAAGGGAAGTGTGGATTGTAGTATCTGATCTCCCTACTTTGTAAGGAATGAAGACTCGGAGGCCTCAGAAGTAACTCCCAAATCAAACCCAGGGTTCCCGACTGCTTGCTCTTTCCCTAGCCTTCCATCAATACTAATCTCTTAACTTTTTACAAACGCACTGGGTTGTCATTTGCCCTCAGGAAACAGACACATTTTAAGTGTGTTACACGGTGAATTACGGCAGGGTGAACACGCCTGCACAAGCAGCCCTCAGGGGCAAGGAGTCCAGTGGGAGCGCCACCCAGGAGCCCAGGAGCGTCCATTCACCACCCAGCTTACTTGCCCCAAAGGAGACAGACAGCTTTGTTAGCTTTTAGCGCCGCAGATGTGAGAACTCAGCTGCTCTTTTTGAACTTCTTATAAAGGAATCTTACAGCAAGGCCATCTTGTTGGGTGATTCCTCCGGTGGAAAGGCTAGTTCAGTGTTGGGAGGTGATATGTGAAAAAGCACGTGCGTGGCATGGTGTGGCACTGCCCTCCAAAGCCAGGCTGCCCCTGCTACTGGCACCTGTGGACTGGCTGGCCAGCTGAAGGGTGTTTGCCCAGCACAGGCAGGGAGGCTCTCTGGGGATGCTAGGTGTATTGTGAACAAAAACAGGGTGTCCAGACAAAATCGGCTTGGCTCAGTGGATAGAGCGTCGGCCTGCGGACTGAAGGGTCCCAGGTTCGATTCCGGTCAAGGGCATGTACCTTGGCAGCTGATAGATGTTTCTCTCTCATCAATGTTTCTGACTTTGTCCCTCCCTCTTCCTCTCTGTAAAAAATCAATAAAATATATTAAAAAACAAACAAAAAACCAGGGTGTCCAAAAAATGTGCACACTAACAGCCGATAGCTCAATTTTGAAAAGGAAATGTATTTTCATAAACACCGCCTTTATAATTCAAGTATGCACATTTTGGGGGACACCCTCTGTATATTCATTTGATAGCTGCTGCTGTTTATGATGCAAGACATGAATTTATGTCATAGTCTACTGAGGATCAACAGAATTCCAGCTCATCTGCCAGGAATTTTTGATAAACACCCTGTTTATCAATTTTCAATTAGTAATCAGTTTTACTCTGAAAATGTAATTCAGGAGGGTTTATTTGTATTAACCAAGCAAGGATTTGGTAAGTGCTTGAATTACATTTGACAAGCTGTGTCCTGTCTCTTCTAAGAGAGTTGAAGGCTATATTGGATTGCGTGATCTGGGTTTTTCTAGATTGGGGAAAGGAGAACTTGAACTTGTTCCTCCATTTTCTTGGTAATCGAAACTATGGAATGCCAGGCTGGAACTTGAAAATGGGTAAGAGGAAGGGTGGACAGGGTGTTGTTGAGCCAAAGCGGGGAAGGGGCAGGTAACTACCTTATAAGCATGGGAAGCTCTCGAGGCCAAAGCAAGCCACTCCTGAGCCATGGCTTACAACACACACCATTTTAAAACTGATAAATATAGTGATTAGGGTGAATAATTTAACTGTTGCAGAAGTACTGACTGCTTTACTTTTTGTTCCATGAAGTTCCAGAAAATAATCTGAATTATGCCTTGTGTAATGGCTTTTGTGCACTGAAAAATAACCTACTCAAAGATCATGTTTCTTGTGGATTATGCTGAGGCTGAGATGATAACTGGAGTAGAAGTTAGACTATCACATTGTAGCTGTGTGCCCTGGGACAGGTTATTTGAACTGCTTACCTACCTGTAATAGTCATTCCTGTCTAATTGGGTTGCAGTGAGCTTCAATAAATCACTATGACAGGCTTAGGTAGGGAATACTAGAAGGTTTGCTGCTATCCCAGGCGTGGAAACAGTATCGTGTTTGTCAATGTCCTTGTCCCACCAGCACAGTGACCCTTCTCTGCCCTTGATTTAGTAGTATCTCCTGCTGTCTTGCATTTCAAAGGTTGTTTTAATTTTAATAAAACAAAATTAGATTGCCATAAATATGCATACTGGACATAATTATTGGGCCAGGAAAACAAACCAGGGAAGGTAGCAGTTAGGAGGGAGATGGGAGTCTACACTATAGGCTGCCAAACTCGGTTTTTATTAGAGTAGTCCAGCAGACCATGGCTGGTTCCTGGTAACCTGAATTTTCAGGTTCTAGGTCTCTTGTTACCGATTGTGATTCCTTGGGTAAGTCTGTTTAGCCATCACCCTCCCTTTGCCCCACCTCCCTCCATAGATAACCACCCTCCTGGAATTATGTTTATCATTCTCCTGCAGGTCTTTTTTTTTTTTTTTTAAGTTGATTTCAGAGAGGAAGGGAGAAGGAGAGAGAAACATCAATGACGAGAGAATCATTGATCCGTTGTCTCCTGCAGGTCTTATATATTTTTTAGATACAATATAACCTTCATCAATGTGTGTAGTATTGTTGTCTTGGATATTTAAAAACATTTTACAGCACTGCCTCTTAGTGATTGAGCATAGACCTATGAATCAGAAGATCAAGATTCATTCGATTCCCGATCAGGGCACGTGCCAGTTAGCAGGGCACGTCCCAGTGTGGGGCATGCAGGAGGCAGCCAATCAATGATTCTCTTTCATCATTGATGTTTCTATCTCTATCCCTTCCCCTTCCTCTCTGAAATCAATAAAAATATATTAAAAGTGTTATTTTTTTAATTTTTTATTTTTACAAATATTGTATATGTGCTAGGGTTAGTATTTTCTTGGCTAGTGAGGTTCATCCATGTTGATAACGTATAGCTC